TTTATTACAAATATAGGAAAAGCGTCATTTTTCGACAGTTTCGCCCGGATTTATTTTTACCACCTTTCGCTCTGTGAATAATAGTGACGCCTGCCTAACGTTGTGTTGGCTTTCCTCTGCCGCGCCGGCCGGTGGTGGTGCCGACCCTCCTCAAGTTGGTCAATGCCAGCGGCACACGCCATAGCACTCACTTTCATGCACTGCCGCGAGTCTCGTTGTCGCCAGGAGTCGCGCCGGAGTCCGCTGTTCGCCTTTCCCTCGTGTGTCTGCTGTGTGTGCATGCCGACTGCACCGACTGCAGCGGTGGTTGTTACTTTGAGGCGACTTTTCTGCCGCGCGTGTGTGCCACTCCTTTTCCGCACCTGTTTTATCTCCGTCTCTCTCAACGGAACGTATGGTGATCCGGGCATCGGTATTGCTCATGAATAGAGATGTAAATTTATTATAAAAACGTGTAGCGTTTAATTAAGCACTTGAAAGTATGGTTGAAAATACTTAATTTTGCAGTACATTCTTTCATGCAAATTTTTAAATAATTCATAAATATGTTCTACTTTTTACGTCGCACGAGGCGCACGCTCGTATCTTGCTCTGGCCTAATCAGAACGCTCTTTGGCCTCGCGTTTTGTCGTATTTACTGAAAAATAATTATCGTTTTCTTGCGGTGCGTCATCCTCTCGCGTCGCTCCTCTCCGCGCACGCACCCATCACCCATCCCCGCGCTGACTGGCTGCGGTGGGCGCGGAGGAGCGCGCGCAGCGCAAGGTCGGGCCCACCTCACTACTATCGGCTCACCGCACAGAGGACGACTTTCTCTGCCGCCGCAGCCGCAGCAGCTGCAGCTGCACTCGCATATCGACTGGCAGTAACGCGCCGTGGTGTCGTTATATGCACTCTCTGCCGCCGCACCTGGAAGGTGCTCCTCTCACCGGCATCCCCCCCCCCCTTCCCGCCGTTTTCCCTCCTCGGGTGTCGTCTGCTGGAGTAACATAAACTCCTTTCCCGACGGCAGCCCACGGAGGTAATCCCTCGCGCTTCGCTGCGGGGTGCCTCCGCGGGGGGTTATTTTATTTTTATTTATACATTGTTTTTCTTTTCTTTTTTTCGTGCGGCGTGCAATCGCTCTTATTGCAGGAGCCGTGGCGGTAATGATATCGGCGGGGATGAGAAATCGCGCAGTCAGAGGCACACAATGGGATTAATTAATAGCGCTGACTGGGCCCGTAATCTCGCTTGTTGTGAGCGGGCGGCTGCAGGCGTGCGTGCGCGATCAGCTGGCCAGCAGCCCGCCAAACCCAACCGCGCACGTTCAAAAAGATTTATAAAGGGGTAAAAAAATTATTAACGTGGACCAAAGCCTTCTCTGTCGCTCCTGCGTGAGGTTTTCGGGGAGAGCGACAGGGACGAACGCACGGACCGCCGCGCCAGTCTCATTCGGAGGCGATTGCGTTGCACAATCCGGCCGCATGACCCTGCAGATCCGGCGCCCGGCGCGGCCCGGAGCGCGGGGGTGTCCCGATCCGACCCGCTCACTTTTCTCCCTCTAACCAATGGCCTTCTTCTCTCTGTTGCAGACGCACCCGCCCGAGCAGCTGAATGGCGGCAAGGGTCTGTCCAAGGGCAAGCGCAGCTGGGGCGACCGCCTCAAGCTGGGCCTGGCCCGGGGGGCGCCGCCCGAGGGCCCGGGGCCCGGCGGGGGCGGCGCCCACCGCGGCGTCCTGGCGTCGCCCCCGGCCCTGCCCCCCGGCGTGCCGCCTGCAAATGGCGCCTACCTGATGCACGAGTACCGGAACCGGTACGGCAGCGTGTCGGGCGGCTCGGCGCTCTCCAAGTCCATGAAGTACGCCGAGACGTGGCTGTACGGCACGGTGAGCGCGCGGCCCGTCTCGGCGCGCCCGTCCGCCTTCGGCCTGCACCGCGGCCACGGCGACGCCCCGCAGGCCGTCATCGCCGTGGTCATGTGCTCCTGCCCCGAGTTCCTGGCCGGCACGACGCGCTCCAAGAAGACGGCCTCGGCGTGCAAGAAGTGCGGCGGCACGCGGCGGCCCATGCCTACCACGGTGGGCACGGTGCGCGGCTACGGCACGGTGTCGCAGCCGGCCCGGGTGCGGCCCTCGCTCCTGGAGCTGACGGGCAACCCCATGCTGACGCAGGACCCCTACGACCTCATGCGGCGCTCGCGCATGTCGGTGGACAACGGGCAGCCGGCGCCGCAGAAGACGCACCACCACAAGGCGCGCGCCAAGAGCAGCTCGCCGCCGCGGCGGAGGCGGGTGCGCAGTCCGTCGCCGCCGAAGACGCCCAAGCCGCCGCCACCCGCGCCCGTCATCCTCCACCCCAGGCTCTCGGACACGGCCCTGAGAACGTCCTCCAGAGACGTAGGAGACTGGGCCGTGGACGAAGAGGACGACGACCTGCGTGGGATGAGGAAGTCCATCCTGGAGTGCGACGTGAACCCGTACGATCTCATATCCAAGTACCTCAAGAACGGGCACAACGGCACGACGCGGGTGCCGCGCGCGCTCTGCAGCGACGGCGGCGAGTCCAGCGACAACCTGAGCGACAACGCGCTCGAGGACCTGCCCCGCCCGGGGATGACGACCTTCGGGAAAGGGCCGCAGTCACCACAGCCCCAGCAACAACCGCAGCTGCAGCAGTCGCCGACCAAAGCAACGCCGCCCTCGGCGATCTCCAAAAAGCCACTGTTTCAGAAGGATGACTTGAGCAGGCTGGGTGCAAAGTTCAACCATCTAAGGCAGACACTGTCCCCCGACTCGAAGACCAAGCCGAGCGCGGTGGCAAACAAAAAGACTGATTTTAAGATTGGCAACGGTTCCGCCAAGCCGACCAAGGCGGCGCCCTCGGAAGCGGGGGTCACCATCAGTGGCCAGCGCATCCGTATTTTCAACGGCGCACCCGGCGGTGGCCTAGACGCCGACGGTGACTATGTCAGCGATGACGCTCTGGACGACAACCTGGCCCAGTTTGAGCCGAAGACGGATCCTGCCGCTGGCGGGGATAGCGACGTCCCAATGGCCACGTCGTCCTCGGAAGAAGAAACCCCTCCCACCGTCGAGGCCCCCGCAAGCCCCAGGATACCCAGGGTGGCATCCCCCAAGCGGCCACCCAGAAGGTCGAAGCAGCTGGTTTCTCAGGAGGCGCCGGAGGCCGGGTCGCCGTCGGCTCTCCAGCTGCGCCGCCAGCGTTCACAGTCTCTCGTCTCTCCGGTGACCGTCCCGGAGATCGCCATCAAGTCCATCCTCAAGAAGTCGGCGGGTGGTGACCTGCTCAGCGGAGGCGAGTCCGTGGCGTCGTCCTCGCCGCGGACCTCACCGGCGCCGTCCTCGGCGGAGGGTTCCATCAGCTCGGGCACCTCGCAGTTTTACCTGCCCACCTTCAAGGAGTTTAAGGAGCAGCAGAAGAAGAAGAAGCAGGTGCAGTTCCGGGTCTCGGACGACGCCGCCGCTGCCGCTCCGGAGAGCCCGTCCGCGGCCTGTACCGAGTCGTCGGTGACCCCCGAGGCCTCGAGCCCCCCAGCCGAGCACGAACGCCTCCGGGACGACGGCCGCGACGATCCCACCCCTACGGAAACCGTCGACGTCAGCCGCGTGTCCAGCCCGGAGATGACCACTTCCACCGACGACGAGCTGACCAGGGAGACGGCTACCGATTCGGGAGGTGAGTCATCGTCTTTGCTTTCCACCCTTTTCTCCCGACGCGCGCGGGTTCGCACGGTGCCCGCGCGAGAGTTTGCCGTCTGACCGCATCCAGCCCGTGACCCCCCTAGGAGCACTGACTGGGGCTATAGGCAACCATAAAGGAGGGTGTGTGTGTGGGCGTAGTGGTGGCAATTTTGGGAGACCCAATAATATTTGGACTTGGACCTCTTTAAAGTGATATGGGCGCATCACCCAAGTCGTTCTCTTCGGCCTTAAGCCATCGCGGGCGTTTATAGTCCTCACACACTCTCTGGTGGCATTTACGCCGCTCACCGACCACCAGGACCGCCCACCATTCTACGGCGCTTATCTCATTGGCCCTCGCAGTATGAGTCGACACAATCTCTTCGCCTATTGTCAAACTAGCGCCGCCGAATGCGCTCCCCCCTCCCTCTCTTTCTCTCGATACGTCTGTCTATCTGTTGTCTGTCTGTCTACGCCGTTCTCTTCGCCCCCAGCCACCTGCGCGCGCGCGTCCTTGAGAAAGAGAGAAAAGACACTCTGTCTGGTGTCGGGAGGAAGTGACCACGCACACATCCGCAGGGCCCATTCCATCCTGCCTGGAGGGACTCTCACCCCCCTCCCCTCCTCTTCCCGCCTCGCTCGCCATCAGTAAGACAAAGGAGTGAAAACGAGAGTTTTCTTCTCCTGCAATGGCGTCGCCAGACTGAGGTTCTGCTGGCCAGGGACTCGGACCCCCCATCACACACACACACACACACGCACACGCGCCTTTCTTAACTCATTCATTTTTCCCCCTTTTTTTGCGTGTGATGTGACGTTAGCGTGTCGTCGCTCAGTCGGATTATTATTATGCCGCCAGCGTCTCTCTTTATCTCACTCGCACACAATCCCTTGTTTCTCTCTTCAACCTCCTGTCTCCCCGCCCCGGCCACTGCCGAAATAATAATGTGCGGCATTTTGTTCGCAATTTTTTGTTTAAAGAAAAAGAAAACAATTTAAACCTTGTGCGCTGTAATCGCTCTCATATGATAATCATAATCCGTTTTTTGTGTGTGTGTCTGGTTGGCTTAGTGTCCCGCCGCGTTATCGGTGCAGCAGTGCATCGGCGCGCTATGAGAGGCTCAAGTCTGACATTTCCCATCGCGGCATCCCCTCGCGGCGTGGCGTGTCGTGGCGTAGCGTGGCGCGGAGTGGTTAAGGCCAGCCCCATAAAGCGCGACCGGCCGCTCCACAACTAGAAGTTATGATGGCGAAATGCCCCTCTCGTCATAATTTTTGTCTAAAAGTCGTTTTCGTCGTTTGTTTTTTATTCAATCTTATTTCCTTTTTTTTTTTAAGATAAAAAGTTAGGTTTTACTTGAGGTTTCTTTTTCGTTAATTGACTCGGTGAATAACCTTCACTCACAGCCGAGTTAGGTCGCTCTGGGAATACGGCCAGCGTGTTAAACGGTCGTGCGTGTTGCCGGTGCGGGGGAAAGGGCAGGGCGCTGTACTGTACGAGGATTCGCCTGCTTGCACTTCCAATACTCGAAAAGCCTGTTTTTCATTCCACCCTATTTTCACCGTCCAGCGAGAATGACAAATTATGACCGCATCCTTGTATTCTTACCAGTTAGTTAGTCGGAGACTGCGCGTGGCTTCGCTCGCTCTGCCTATACGTGATGTCATAGACCAGCTCGCCTCGCCGCGCCACGCCTCGCGGTGGCCAAGCCTGCCGTTGACATTTTACAATCCATTTCGTGATGCAAACTGGCTGGGGGGCAGCAGAGATAATTGGCCCGCTAAGGGTTACTAGCAAAAAATAAAGATAACCATGCTCTTTAGACTTTTAATTTTGATTTTAAAGTTTACATTTAACATGCATACATCTCGCCCAAATCTCATACATCTTCCATCCCAGGTGGCTAACTCACGCCGCGCACATGTGTAGTTATACTGTACCGCATACGTGCGTGCGGGCGGGTTGCCTTCTCGCACGGGGCCTTAAGGAGCCGTGGGCACCTTGGATAGGCAACCCTCCCGCATCCGTGCATGTGGTACAGTACAACTAAGAATGTGCGCGGCGTGAGTCAGCCACCTGGTATACCACTCCTCCCAAGATTTATTTTTAGCATAGATTTTTGTAAATGACATTTGGATCTTTTCATTTATTTTTATTTATTTTTTTGTAGCGATCTATTGATTGGGACAACCTTATGTTTGTGAAAATGGAAGGAATGATTCTGAGTACGCAATAAGTACACATAAGTGTGGAGGAGTCGTTCACCCCCAGGCCTGTCCTCGCCCCAGCCAGTCCTTTCTTGTCGCCCCGCGGGCGATACTCCCTGCAGCGCGAGACCCGGCGGCGTTGGCGTCGGCGTCGGCGTCCCCTCTGAGGTGGAACATAATAAAAATAGAGCAAAGTAGTAAAGTGCCGGCGTGGCCGCGCGATGACCCGTGAACCCAGTGAGTCGGACAGTCCCTCCTACAAACTCCTCTGTGATTGATAGGATGGATTTTTCCCCTTCTTTACAACTCATGAAACCTTTACCCTTAACGGGGCCTCGTCTTATTCCCTGCCAAACGTTCTTCTTTTCCTGTAAACTTCCTACTTCCCCTGTAAACTCCCTTATTTCCCTGTAAACTTATATCCCTTATTTTCCTGCACATCTCCTCATTCCTTGTAAACTCCCTTAGGCTTCTTTAAAATTTCATTTCGACAAAACGAAGGGTTTTATCACGTGCCTGCGTCAGTCCACACGTGTGTGGGGGCGCGACAAAGAGACGGAGACGTCCAGAGCCGGCGGTGCCGGACTTGTGATCCCAAGTGCGAGTGTCAAGGACCAAAGGCGGCTGCTATGCCACGTTCATTGCCGCCGCCGGCTGCCATTGTCCTGTGGCGTGCCGGGCCTCACTTTGGCTCTCGTGAGTGTGTGTTTGTGTGCGCGTGTGTGTGTCTTTGTCGGGGCGGCATTCCCTCTGTGCGGGACCAGACCGGGTCGCGTCGCTAATTTGTCGGAATGCTCCGCACACGTGTGCAATCAACACACACACACGTGCATTATGCGACATCTCACTCTCCTCTCTGTCTCTCTCGCTCGCTCGTTCTCTCGCTCTCTCTCTCTCTCTCTCTCTCTTTTGCTCCCTCTCTCGTGCCCCTGCTCTTCCTGGGGAATGTAACCGGACCGTGCCTTATGCCGCACCACGCCGCGCCCAGCAACAATCATAACAAACGCAGCGAGACTCACGAAGCCAATAAGAAATAAAGCCGCGCTTATGCACGAGGGAGGGAGAGAGAGAGAGAAGGGGGGGATGCTGCTCGGGAGGATGACTGTGAATACATTTCCGCCATATCGGCTCGCCGGACGTCGTGAGTGCATTCCAGTGCGGTGTGGTCCTATCCTGCAACCCTCCCCCCTCCCCCTTTTCCTTCTCCGAC